GCCCTTTGGCTCCAAAGGAACAACAACATAAAGGATAAGCGGTAAGTGATTGAGACTTGGGAGAATGTGATGAAAGGACAGCATAGAAAATGCCAGAAAGACTTGGGAGGGGCCAGAACCATGAGAATGACAGGAGAACAGATGCCTCAGATGCTTCGGAACAAGCAGGCCACATGGGGGAGGTGGCAGGAAGGCCACATCTGCTCAGCCAGAGCCTCCTTATCCCCAGAGGAGGGCGAGAGGGATGGCTGGGAACAGGCACGTAGGAGGGTCTCTGAATGGGGTCAGGAGGGAAAGGTAGAGATCATTTCTAGGGAGAACCGAGAGGTGAGAAATGGGCGCCTGCCTGGCCGCCACGATCCAGAAAGTCCAAAACTGCTCAACCAATTTGGACGAGGCAAGCGAGGCTGGAAGGGCTGGTGGAGAAGGCGGCTGTACCAGTCTGCCCCCCTGTGTCCGGTTTGGAGCTCATCTCTTGGCGCCCGATGGGCCCACCGTGGGCCCATGTGGCTGTGCCGGGACATGGGGAGAAGCCGCGCTGGAAGCCAGGGCAGGCGGGACAGAGCCCCGGGGGCTGTCACCAGCAAAGCTTCCACAGGGCGCCCGCAGCGTTTGCACCGCGCAGCCCAGGGCTGAGCCGGGCGCAGGCTCCAAGAAGGGCTCAGCGCACACAACTTCAAGGACACTCAAGTGCATATCGATGGGGCTGCCAACGGGAGCGGCCGCTCGGGGCAGCCCATGCTAGCCGGGACATTGGCATGGCCCTTGCTGGGAAGCTCGGGAAACCGCGTCATCCGTGGCGGCGCCCCTGCGCAGTCGCCCGGAGACCGCGGCTGGGAGATTTCCCCCTCCCCCATCCCCACAAAGCCTGCCGTTGGAAGACGTTGGCCGCTCGCCACCCCGGCTTCCTTCCGTTAGGGTCACTGGGCCCCGGGGGTCCCGGGAGCTGCAGGACTCGAGGTTGACCAGGCGCACTCTGGCTGTGGCAGGCCCTCTGGGAGGCTGTGCAGACTTGGAGACCCAAAATCTAGACTGTAGCTGAAGCCTTGAGCTATAGCAGAGCCATATATTCTTGTGGTGACAGTGGCCTTAGGAAAAAAATTCTCTCTCTTGGATGATTAGGTCTGAGCTGTGCAAGCCTTCTTAAATAATACATTGGCCTGTGGGATGGCCTTTGGGGGACCTCTGGAAAATTTCAAACCTTGTTATGGACACAGGGTTATATAGTAAATATTAAATTGGGTGAATTTGTAGTTACACCCATAAATACTGATTTTGAGCTGCCAAGCTGACAGATGACTTTAGCTCAGGCTGAGGATTTTAGCCAGCTTTTCCGACTACGAGAAGGGAGTGCACATGCTTCCTACTCTTTGAGTGATCTCTTAGGGAATCTAGTCACCAATTTAGTGAAGCCTACAACCATTTAGGGTTCCACCAACTCAGCCTCTGCACCCCGCTCACAGATTCCTGTCACCACCAGACAAGACTAGGAGTTTCTACCATCTGGGACATACCTATTTTCCTTCTGTTCCTTTCTTTGCCTATCAAAGCCCTCATATCTATTATGATACAACAATGTATCCCCCCTCTTCTTCTAGTAGAAGTCTCAAAATGACTGTTAAATCACTTTGATGTTATTGGAGAAGTCACTTAACACTTAAGCGTGCTGTTGGTTTCAAGGGATTAAACAAAATATTACCCTCAGTGAGTTCCCTCCCTGGTGGGAGAGTTCACTTTGCCCTTGTAGGGGAGGAGGACGTTTCCTCTCCCCAAATGGGGGTTCGTCTGGCCGGAGAACGAATTAAATTCACATGAGACAGAATAGCAAGAGAAAATTAAACAAAGCTTTATGAGGAACCATGGCCCGGGGCCTTTCTTCCCGAAGGAAGAAAGGGCACCGAAGAAGTGGGGTACACATAGTGGTTATATACCCCCAAACGGGGTGTTTCACATGTGATTGAAATGTCCCTTTTACAACAGTCATGAGGCTGCTCTGTCAGCACAGCTCTTGATGGAAACGGCAGATAGGTCTGCTGTCTCAGTGAGCGCCGCAGGGTGGCAGGTGTGTTGCCTCGGGCTGGGTGGGGGGTCACAGATGAGCGCTGCAATCGGTTCCCAGCCTAAAGAAAGATGCTTAATCTTTAAGGAGATGCCAAAGTTGGGAGGGGGAGGGAAGTCAGTTACAGGAGGTTACCAGATTAGCACAATAAAATGCAGATTTTAAGTCCTTGCCTTTGGCATTGATTAAGAGTTTCTAGAGAGAAGGTCATCTCCCTTCTTCCTCCTGGTACAGAGAGGGAGGCAGCTTTTACAGATAGAGATTTACCTTACAAATGTAAATGTGTCCTAAGGAAGGGCAAGTTCCATTCCTCAGAGCCTCCTTCCCTGTCCCAGTTTATCAAAAGCAATCAGCCTCAAATAATCCTGATGCCAAAGAGACATATCTTGGGGTGGCCAATTCCAGGTCCCCACACCCTCCAATTAATGCAGGCACCCTAGCTTGTCAGGTTAAGTAGAGTGTGTGAGCTGCAGAAGGCTCTGAGGTTTGTCTGTTAATGAGGCAAACATTCATGGTGGTCCTAAGTCGGACCCTAAAATGATATCAGATTGAATCTAGGTGCGGGCTCACCAGAGTTGTTGGGCATTGTGGGGTTGGGTGGGGAGTGGGGGTGTTTTTCCCGAGACCAGAACTGGGGAAGCGAAATAGATTTCCCCTGGGGAGGTAAGAAAGGCTGCTTTTAAGGTCCTGTGATGGGGGCACTCTCCAAACCTACTGTAGAATAGGTTAAGCCTGTATATGAATGTTTACATCCATGGTAGGAGAAATTAGAGAAGATTTTCCACAGTCAGCAGGGACCCAAAGGAAATAAGGATGAGACATCACTGGACAGTCATTCCCGACATGAGTGGAATTAGAACTTAATTCTCCTGAACTAGTACTCTGTCTCTGTGAGTGGGCCTGGAAGATAGAAACAATATTGCAGAGATAACTAAACAGCAGTCCAAATGTAATTTTAAGAGCTGTTAAGAATTTGGGATCCAGTCTTGAGACTGAATACCCTTCAGGATTGAAGGTCTGGGGAGTGGCGTCAGAGTAGCAGGAGTCCGTTGGCAAGGATAAGAAGTGATACTCCTTGTTAGGCAGGCAGTCTCCTGTAAATGGTGTCTCCATGGTCTGCTTAGATCCTCTTCCTAATAGGCAGGATACTAGATGTACAATGTCAGTTATACATCCACCTTCTAAAATGGAAGTCTTTTTCGGCGATTTGCTTCTTTTGTCTCTTAGCTCTCGCCTCCATTTTAGCATCACCAAAGTGCCTAAAGTTAGCAGGAGCTGTTTGCTCCCACACTGAAAACCTGCTCTCTTTGCTGCTGGACTAGGTGGTAAAGAGTGCTGGATTGTAGTGGGAGCCTGGGGCTGAATTCATAGGTATCCTAAGTTTTGTCCCTTCCTCCAATTGTTAGATCGTCTGAGGAGGCCAAAAACGTTTGGAACCCAGATTAGAGCTGGGAAGAGGGAGCTCACAGAAGCGTCAGCCCTTGTGGGAGATTGGATTATGATCCAAAAATGGGGTAGGGACACAATGAACGGTGTGGAGCAAGGAATCTTCGCCAGCCTTGGGGTGCTGGTTGGGGCCTTTGCTGTCACTCAAAACAGGGCCTGGAGCTGCCTGTTTGGAGCAGTGTGCTGAAAGGCAAAGCACCATTGTCCCCATGTTGGGTGAGAATACGCACCCTTGGAAGTGCCAGTTCCTAGGTTGATGGTAATTGGAAGAGCTCTTGGGGTAACTTTGAAGAAGCCAGAGAATAGGTTAGAAAACACACAATTGGAAATTTCTTGTCTTTTGGGATAAGACAAGGGGGAAAGGGAATTACTGCTGTTTACTGGACCCATGAGCCTTGGCTTTGTGGATTGTTAGATGATACCCTTCTTCCTAGCCATTGTTTCCCCTTTCACTTGCCTTAGGTCTGGTGATACCTTAAAGGAAAAATAAGTGAGGCAGAGGAGGGAAGGGCAAAACCAGAGTGAGCAAAGGAGAAACCAAGATGAGATTATAGACAGAAGAAAATGTTAGAGAAGTTTAGCTAGAGCAATAGAGATGGGTAACTAGGAAAAAAATCGATTTAGATAGAGACTATCTGAAAGAAAAGATAGATGAACATTGAGGAAAGGACAGAGGCTAAGAAGAGGGAAAAGGCAGTGGCAGAAACTTATAGGAAAACCAGAGACAAAGGAGGAAAAACTAAACCTCCTTCCCTCTCTCTCTACTTTCCTTCTTTACTCCCTCCTTTTCTTCTGAGTGTCTACCACATGCCAAGTCCTAGCTAGGTACTGAGGATGGAAGATGAGCAAGACTCATTCCCTGCTCTAGAGGAGCTCGTATGTAGTGGGGAGATAATGATGTGGCTGACTGTAGAGCACGAGGGTGAGAAATTGGTTTCCAAGGACTGCTTTTTCTATGTGTAGGTAAGAGGGGGCTAAGAAAGTGGAGACCCTCAGAATGAGTTTTGGAGTTCCCTTTGTAACTGCTATCGGGCTAAGGGTGGAAGGCCAGCTGCTATCTGAGGATTCAGACCCTCCTTGTAGCTTCTTTTTGGGTGGTAACTAGGGTGGTGTTTTACAGGTAGTGGCCGAGAGTCTGCAGTGAGTCAGGAATAGGATGCTCCCTGGGTCCCCAGTGCCGCACCCCCAGGCACAGTGGGAGGGGTGATGTTCTCCCCTCTCCTCTCCCTGAAGTACCTGTGCACTGCTGTGAGTTCTCCAGCTGCAACTCACCTTGGGCTCTCTCTTGGCCTTCATGCTACATGCAAAAGGGAGGAAAAGGAAGTTGTGGGAAATTTGGAAAATACAAAATGAACAAACATCCTTATCCCCAAATAACAAAAAAAGACAAATTTTGGCGTTCAATTTATGGGTCTCTGAAGTCCAGGAAGCCCAAGGACCAGAGAATGAATAATCCTCTTGCAGGAGAAGAGAGCACCAGTGTTAAGGGTGGGTTAAGAGTCTTTGTGGAGGCTGGGGGTGGGACGGAACACAAGGCTCCTTCATCATCACCCCTTGATGAGAGAACCTCTTTAGGGGAGATGCTTTTGTGCAGATACTTAAAAACTTCCATACCCTTATAGGTGCAGGAAACAGAGAGTTCCCAGAATGTGGGGCCTCTGAGGGAATTGTGGTTTGTTATGTGTCTAGGTTTGGGTTTGTAAAGCAGGCATTGAAGAGTAGCTGTGAGTTTCCAGAATTTGAGAGGAACAGGGTTGGTAGGTTATGAGTGGATCTGGGAGACCTTTCCTACACGGTCTGTTTCGAAGGTATGGGCAGCTGTTGAAGCTACTTGAGGGAGGGGCTTGAGGTGGCCTGGCCGGAGGTCAAAAGAACCTGGAACTAACGCAAGGGTTAGATGGACACTGTAACCCCGAGACACAAGCCAGGTGAAGGACATTGGCTCTATTTCTGTCATTTTGCCAAACATTTTGAAGAATGGTGTGCCAAGTTCCTGTAATGACGGACAGTGCTGTAAGTTGCATGGATATCTTCATTGGAACAACAGTACCACCACATTTTTCTCATTTGCCATGGGCCATTGAAAACTTTCACAAAATTGCCACGGTCCTTGGACAGCATTTCGTTTCCTCCGATCTAGCCCAGCTCTGCTGCCTCAGCGACAGTGGCACAACGTCACAGAAGCTTCCACATTTTTGCTTCTTTGAGGAGATGGCCAAGGGAAGAGTTCTGGGTTGTAGAGAATATGACTGGAAACTTCATGGTGATTCTGAAATCTCTGGCTTATGGACAGATTAGGGGTTCTCACCCTGCTTTCCCCTCTGAAGGTGTTTCTTTATGGCCATTTAGCAAATTTCCCAGCATCTTCATCTTTGATAAAGTTTGGGACTTTGTTTTCCGGCTCTCATATTTCCCTTTTGGTGTGTGTACTGCCTTTTCTAAGATGTTTTTGGCTCTCCTCCCAACTAACTTTCAGCTGTTCTTTGGGAAAAGGCCAGATAATTCACAACTGTGATGAAAAAACCCAACCCCAAACAGAAAAATCCTGCATGTCTTACCATTTCTGGCATCTGGTTTTGTTTTGTTTTGTTTTCCTTTAGTGGTGTTTAGTTTCTGGACCCAAAAGCCTGCAATTCTAATGGCCTACTTTCTGGTGTCCTTGCGTGAGAATAATGCTTGGAGAGTGCAGCCATAAATAGCGTGATGGGCCCCAGTCTGCAGCTCTGATGGTCCCCGCACATCTGTTGTTCGATTTTAAAGAGAACTGCTTATGGAAAGGGCTGGCCATTGAGTTCTCCGTGGATAGCTAGCAAGGACTCTGATTTCAAAACGGAAAATGTTTGATGTGAAGATGTTTTGAACAAGAAACAAAAAACCTGTGTTCTAGTCCTGGCACTGCCGTTACTAGCCGTGTGAACTTCGGCATATCTCCAAATTTCTTTGGGTTGCGGTTTCCTGATGGGTAGAATGAGGATATGAATGCCTACCTCACAGAGTTGTTGTGAGAATTAAATGTGCTCTGTAATCTGTCATATAAATATTTGCAAATTTTTATGGTTTAAGAGCCGTTTAAAAATATTCCCTGGCCACATAGCAGACGCGCTGACTTTTCTACCCTCAGATCAAGGGTTTTCACGGTCAGGTATTGCATATTTAAATTGCTGGAGCCAAATTTTATGTTTTTATGTAAATATTTTTGTGCGGAGAGGGGTCCATCAGCTTTCTTCAGTTTCTCTGAGGAAAAACCTAAAAAGGTAAAAACCAGTGCTTCAGAGCTGAAAAGTTGGGTTCAGTAACAGGAATAAATTTATTGCTTCCAATAAGTCCCTCTTAATATGTCCGCAGTAGCAGTTGCATCGGTTTTCGCATGGTGAAATCCTCAATGTGGCCTGATGACGGTACAGACCGTTTGAAATTGAAACAGACAATCTTGGACGTACAGTCATGGTAGCCATTCGGTTATCCAATTGCCTACAGTGTGAAGGTGGGCGTAAAAGAAATGATTAACTATATGGACCTAAGAGAGTCACCTGACCTTGTGGAGTCTGTTACTTTTTGGGAAAGGGAGGGATTTTGACCCTGAAGATTTCCGAAGTCCCTAGTTTGAATTTCCTAGGGAAGTGAGAGAAAAGCTGGATTCGGCTGGAGCCCGGTTGTGGCAGAAACTATCCAGGCTTTGTGTAGGAGGAGAAAGAGGGAGAATCAGAGCGAGGAGGAGGGCCAGAGCATCCAAGGAGCCTCGTCCTTGATCAAGATGGGCGACGCGAGCCTGCTGAGGGGAAGAGCCAGGGTGACAAGGGCAGGAAGAGAGCGGATGGGCTACTTCTTAAGATCCACCTGGGGGACCAGAGACTCTGCTTCCACCTTTCACGCTGGGACTGGCTTGCCAGAACACAAGCTGTCTCTCAGTGAGCGAACACGCCGTCTTCCTTGCACTCAGAGAAGTTCTAGTTCTCACAGGAGTACATGCCTGGGGTCTTCCCACATTCCCTGTCAGGTGATTTGCCTACTTCAGGAAAATGCCGCCCAGCAAATGCCTCAAGAAACAAGTAAGTCTTAGGGCTGTTGAGGCTGTTTGAAGGGGTTAAGAGAACCTCATATCTGTACCTTGGGGTGGATTGGAATCCCTACCCCTTCATGAGGAATTTTAAGCAAAAATTCCGTGTGTGTGTGTGTTTTAAAGATTCACTCTGAGCTAACATCCATTGTGAAGCTTTTTTTTCCCTCCCCAAAGCCCCAGTGCATAGTTGTATATTCTAGTTGTAGTTCCTTCTAGTTCTTCTATGTGAGCCACCGCCACAGCATGGCTACTGACAGCTGAGTGCTCTAGGTCGGAAATGGGGAACCAAACCCGGGCCACCAGAGCAGAGCATGCCAAACTTTAACTGTTAGGCCGTCAGGGCTGGCTCAAAAAATCTTTATTTTTTAAAACTACTATCGATACATTATTAACTAAAGTCCAGGTTTACATTAGGGTTCGTTAGATTTTTTTTTTAAATTGGGTTGAGGCTTTTTGTGTATGTAGAATGACTGGCTCATCATATGGTAGGTTCATATTTAACTGCCAAAAAAACTATGCAACAGTTTTCCACAGTGGTGGCCCCATTTTATATTCCCACTGCCAGTGTATGAGCATTCTATACTCACCAACACTTGATGCAGTCTGTTTAACTTCTATCCACTCTAATAGGTTTAGAGATATCTCATTCTGGTTTAAATTTGTAATTCTCTGATGACTAGTGATATTGAGCATCTTTTCTTGTATTTATTTGCCATTCACATAGTTTTTTGGTGGAGTGTCTTCCAATCTGTTGTCCCCCTCTCCATTTTTTATTATTAAGTTTTAAGAGTTCTTTTTATATTCTAGATATACGCTCTTTATCAGGTATTTCATATGCAAATATTTTCTCCCAGTATGTGACTTGTCTTTCTATTTAACAGTGTCTTTTAAAGAGAAGAAATTTATAACTTTGATAAAGTCCAGTTTATCAGTTTGTTCTTTTATGGATTGTGTTTTTAGCATAGTATCTAAAAAATCGTTGCCTAACCCAGGGTCACAAAGGTTTTCTTCTGTTTTCATCTAGAAGTTTTATAGTTTTAAATTTTATATATAGGCTTATGATCCATTTTGAGTTAATTTTTGTACATGGTACTTCAAAGTATGGCACAAAATTAATTTTTTTTTGCATATGGATATCCAATTGTCCCAACACCATTTCTTGAAAAGACTATTGTTTCTCCACTGCTTTGCAACTTTGTCACAGATCATTTTCCATACATATGTAGTTCAATTTCTGGACTTTCTATGGCGTTCCATTGATTAATTTGTTGATCTTTGTGCCAGTATCATACTGTTTTGATTACTGTCACTTTATAATAAGTCTTGAAATCAGGTAGTATTTATTAGTCTTCTGACTAGCTGTTCTGGCTATTCTAGGTGCCTTGTATTTCCATATGAATTTTAGAATAAGCTTGTCAATTTCTCCAAAAATGCTTCCTGAGATTTTTTATTAGGATTACATTGAATCTATGGCTCAGTTTTAGGAGAATTGCCATCTTAATACTGAGTCTTCTGAATTATGAATCACTTACGAATTACTGAGTCTTATGAATTATAAATAGCTCTCCATTTAGTTAGATTTTCTTTAATTTCTTTCAGCAATGTGTTGTAGTTTCAGTTACAGGTCTTGCACATCTTTTGTCAGATGCTAAGTAGTTCATATATTTTAATGCTATCAGAAGTGGTAGTGCTTTTTTAATTTCAATTTTGATTCTTTGCCACTGGTATCAATCAAATAGAATTGATTTTTGCATATTTATCTTGTATCTCGCAAATTTGCTAAACTCACTTATTAGTTCCAGTAGTTTTTTTGAAGACTCATCAGATTTTCTATATAGGAAATCCTACCATCTGTGAATAAATACAATTTTACTTCCTTTCCAATCTGGATGGCTTTTCTTTTTCTTGCCTTATTGCACTGGTTAGAACCTCAAGTGCAGAGTTGAATAGAAATGATAAGAGGGAACGTGCTTTTCTTCTTCTTGAACTTAGGAGGAATGCATTCAGTCTTTAATAATTATGATGTTAGATATAGATTTTTTAAGCTGTCCTTTATCAGATTAAGGAATTTCTCTTTTCTTACTAGTTTGCTGAGAGTTTTTAATCAGGAGTGGATGTTGGATTTTGTCAACTGCCTTTTCTGCCTCCTCTGAGGGCTAAATTTTTTAGAATAATACCCTTATCTTGTGATTCTCTAGAATAGGGGACAACAAACGTTTTCTGTAGTAAATATTTTTCTGTAGTTAGTATTTCAGATAATTAATATTTTAGGCTTTGCAGATCACATAGTGTCTGTTACTTCTTTGTTTTTGTTATTGTTTTTTTAACATTCCTTTAAAAAATAAACTATGCTTAGGTTATATTAAAAAATTTTAGTCTGGCCACCTGAGCTAAAAATGGTTTTTACATTGCCACAGAGTTGGCTATACGGTTGTAAAAAAAGAGTGGCAGCAGCAGTGACAGAAATATATGAGGCCAGCAAGGCCCAAAATATTTACTACTGGTCCTTTATCAAAAAAACTCTGTCAACCTCTTATTGTAGAATATTGTTATAAAATACTCCAAGAGGAACATTACATTTTCGTATACTGTATGTGGCCCAGATGAAATTGAGCCAGAGGTGGCAGCTTCTCCTCATCCACAGTGCTACTCCTTAAACTGGGGATTTTGTTTAAAAACTGATTATTAAAACGTGTGGTATGAAGAAGCGGATGAAGATGTCAATTTCATTATTAGTCTGGAAATTAATTGATGGCCACTATGCTTGATTTTTCAGAGACTGGAAAACTGGCTCCTTGGTTTGGAAGCGGCACTGTCTGAGACTTGGTTCTTTGGAAATAGACAAGGTATAGTATTGACTGGCTGGGCATTGAGGCTCCCCTCTAAGTGCATTCCAGACACCGTTCTAAGGGTTTTATCTGCTGGGCCTGTCTCCTTGTCTATAAAATGGAGATGAGAATGATACTAATAATAGCTTCCTCATAGGGTTGCTGAAGGGATTACATGTAGTTAAGTAACTTAACTGAGATGTTTGTACAGTGGTGGAGCCAGAATCTGGCTCTTAACTCTGTCCCATGCTGTTGCTCTAGTACCTTGAGTTCTCCTTTCTCAGCTCCCTCCCTTTACCATCTGCTCCTTTCCCCAGGTCTTCAAAGTTGCCACAAATATTGATGGAAGTGAGATATGAATGAAAAGCCCCAGTTGACACCCCTTTTGGTGAACTCCAAGATTTACAGCACTTTTTAAAGCAGTGTTCAATTTTAATTTGTGGTGCAAAAGAATGTTTTATTAATCTTCATTTAAATCTTGATTTAATATCTCCTCAAGAACTCAAAACTTTACGAGTGAGGAGGACCAGAATGTTTTACAAAGGAAGAGAGAAAGAGACAAGTATGAAACTAAAGAAACAAAGAACTGGAAAAACTCTTTTCTTTTCCTCTGACCTAAAACAGATTTGAAATTTGGAGGTAGTCAAAGAGCCCTCTCTGGTTTAGCTTCACTTGAATCAATTTTAACTGGTTTGTGTTTTTCCAAATGAACCTCTATGGGGTAACCATTGACTGGGTATTAGTTATGACACTGACTAATTTTAAAGGTCAAGGAGCAGAATAACCAAAATCAAAACATGTCATTCATTGTGAACTCCCTCTCCAAATTCATTTTCTGAAAGTGCACATCCCTAGGTACCCTGATTTTCTTCCTTGAGAATGGGCAGTGACGTGTCTGTCTGACGCTCAGTTCCACATGGATTGACACAACTGAGTTCCTCCCAAGCCAGTTCCCCAGTGCTGCCCCGGGCCACGCCCGATTGGTTCTCCCACTGGCTCACGGTTCCTGGTTTTCCCCTTTCTACATAAATGCATTACTTTCCTATCAAGCCCCTAGTTGTATGGCCTTATATATACACCGGTTCAGTAGTGTGGGTCTCTTTTTCCCGGCAAGGGGGCCCAACACTTGACATGGAAGGGCAGTGGGGAGAGCTGCACTATCAACAGGCTACAGCCTTTCTCTCTTTCTTGGCCTTTCAGGGAGCTCATGTACCTCTCAGGAGTCTAAAGCCTTTTTCTTTCACCCGGGTTTGTCCTTTCCCAGTACCCAGGCTCTGAAGTGGCAAATTTTGCTGTACTAATTCCATTCAACAGTCCCCTTCTGATGTCTTCAACTATTGATTACTCCAATTTACTGTCTACTTAAAGTAGTTTTAGTTGTCTCTCACCAGAAGTATCTATTTCTTGAGGGGGAGGGGTTCCACTGTAGAAGTAATGCATCTTCATTTTGGTAAATTCGGAAAATTACAGATAAACAAATAGAGAAAGCCTGGAATCATCTGTAATCCAACCATCCTGAGTCAATGTGCTGGTAACATTCTAGCGGATATCTTCACAGTGTTTGCCCATGTACATACACATTTTTTATTTCCAGAAATGAGACCACTTAGTACAATTCTGCCATAGATTTTTTTTCTTTTACTTTTTCTGAGCTTATCCTCTTCTACAACATCAGTTTTAATGATATGCTTTAATGTATTTACAACTCTGCTGTCGTCCCCAGGTCCCATTCCAGGAGGATTTTCAAGTAGAAGGTGAATGGACATCAACTAGGGACACTGAGAATAAGGGCTTCATGATACAACGTTTGGCTGTCTCTTGATGGGGAAGGGCAAGTGTGCTCTTGTGGTCAAGTATGGGAGAGGTGGGTTCTGTCATGTGGAAGTTTCTTTGAAATTGCGAATTTCCACTCATGGAACAATGGTGCCATTATAAGCTCAGCACCAAGGAATGTAAATGTCGCATTAAAACCTTCTTGAGGTATCTGCCGTCTCACAATATATATGCTTCAAAGTGATGCTACTGCATTATAATAAAGTATCCTTTTGATGACATATGATCTGACAGAGCATTTATGTGTACGAAACATCTTTCAAAGACAACACAAATTGAATAATATTTAGTTCTATATGTAATAGATAAGGATTTCTTCATACTACTTGGGGCACAAAAATGTCATATTGTTTAGAGCCCTCACTTGTAAAGGGACGCAGGAAGTGTTCTGTATTAATCACTGGAGGGTTCTTCACTATTTAGACTGTTCCAGGACCGCAAGTCTTAACCCTGAGAAAAGAATCAGGAGATTGTGGGCAGCTTTATTCTTTAGTCCATGGGTTTGCTTTGACGATGCCCTTGTTCGGGCCCTAAAATTTCAAATACAGGCAGCTTCCCCTGCGGCTCCATTCACCCCGGGCTGGACTGGCTGCAGTGAACTTACTTCACTGCTGCTCTCAGTTGTTATGTGCATGGTACACAGCCTCCCCACGGAGCCATGATGCTTTCTCCCTTCCAAGATGCCTCTGCCTGAGGGATCCTGAATGAGAGTAGAGTGATAATATTAGCCACTATCAGAAATGGAAATCCCAGGGGCTGGCCCAGTGGCATAGCGGTTCACATGCTCTGCTGCGGTGGCCTGGGGTTCGCTTGTTCAGATCCTGGCTGCAGACCCACCTACCACTTATCAAGCTCTGCTGTGTCAGGCGTCCTACATATAAAACAGAGTAAGATGGGCACAGGTGTTAGCTCAGGGCTGATCTTCTTCAGCAAAAAGAAGAGGATTGGTGGCGGATGTTAGTTCAGGGCTAATCCTCCCCAAAAAAGAAAAAAGAAAAGAAATGGAAATCCCAGCTACTCCAGTGGATCCACAATCATCTTTTCTTCAAGTTGGATAGATCATCCTTAGAGTTTGTTTGGTCTTTGTCATCCAAATATAGTGGAGAAGAAGGGGGTTCTTCAATCTGGCTCATCTCCGTGTGGCTTGAAACATACAAATGGTGTCAACTTTCAACTGTGAGCCAGAGAAATATGACTCAAGACAGATGTCTAACTGCACTTCTCTAAAGAAAGGGAAACTTTCAACTTTTCTTTTCCTAAAGTACCCTGTCATCAGTAAAAAGAAACACCTTACCCTATCACGTACCTTACAATGTCCAGTGTTTTTCCATCACTAACAGTAGCTTCCACTTACTTAGCTCCTTCTATGTCTCAAGCAATATTCTAGATGATTTATACATTTTTATGCATTTAATACAACAATCCTGGTATTATGTATTCTCACCCTAATTATTACAAATGATGAAACTGAGGCACCGGGGACTTACCTTATTTGCTCAGAAATACGTGGTTATTAGACTTCTATTTTGTGTAGCGAAAGAAATATAATTATTAAATTGGAAGTGTTTGGGGAAAAGCTTAAAATTTAATCCCTGTGTTACAATCTTTGTGAATTAAGGTTTTGCCGCTTACCCGTTTGGTGTGAGACTCTAAAGATGGGGTGGGACAGAATATAACTTCGGTGTCATTTCAAAATTTTAGATTTAGTTCTTGGCCGTGATACGGAGGTTTTGCAAAACATGGAGAAGACAGCTCCCCTCTTCCTCCTGCAAAGAACAGATTTTCTAATCCTGGTTTTGCCATCTTGGTGAGCTTGTTGATCATTTTGGCCACTGCTCTCTGGCAAGACCCTTGCCTTGCCCACTGCTCTCTTAAAAACAGCGCCTTTACAGCACATGGAACTTTAAAGAGTAGAAATTACAGTGACGTGGCTGATTGTGCTGACAGTTTTTGAAGAAATTGTATTTAAGGGAAATGCTAATTGCAGAGCACAGCCAACATTTTAAGAGAAAATATTTATCTAAGCTGAACCAAGGTTTGTCTTTTATAATGTTTATTATGGAGAAGGAAAAATATTTTCACAGCCCTTAAAATTTCCTTAAGCAGCAACTGTTGTTCTTTAGCAAATCTGGGGAAGCCTCAGGGATGAGGCAGCACATTGGCCAAATTGGGGAGCTTTCATATTTCCCAGGGAAGGAAACGGATTTGAAGAATGCTCCGGTCCAGAAGCAGAGGTGGAAAGGTGACCTCTGCTTGCTGTGGTGTGAACAGTTGATTCCGTTCCTGTGATGATTCCTGTCTGTGCCCCAGCACTGAAGTTGCCCCAGTTTATTAAACCGAGTTGAATGGACATTGCTGACGGGAGTATTAGCACCTTTGCTTGCCATGTGGTTGAACCCGACTAATTCATTTATCTGTAAAGCCCCAGATCAAACACCACTATTTCTTGTAGTGTTTCTTGTCTTCCCCAGACAAAATTAACGCTCTTTGGATTTCCCAAAACACTTGTCATATACCTCCATGCCTTGATTTAGTAGGTCCATTTCTCTACTAAACTGAGCTTTTTGAGAGCAGAAAGTAAGTGTCATCTCTGACGTTGCAGTACCTGGTGGCAGATTATGAACTAAAGTGTTGAAATTTGTCTAATACCAAGGAAGATGGGAACATAAGTGACATCTGTCTTTGGGGGGTTTTCACTCAAGTTCCTCCAGGGCTACCCTTTATCTCATGCTGTGTCCCCCAAATGCCTGTGACCATCTGCTCTTGGATTCTTTGTTTACTCTTGGGCAAGGCTTCTCAGACTTCCTATGGAGGCATCAGAAACATCAAACACTTGCTAGCTGTACCCCTCAAGATCTGGAGATTTGGAGCCAGCTGAAATTTCTTGGCATTTCATACTTCATCTCAAAAATCTATCTACAGTTTATGTTTCACATGTCCTGCTACATGTGACAAGTTTTCTCATAAAACTTCTGGAAAATGTACATCATTTCATAGTTCCAGAGGGGGTAGTTTGAGAAGGGTGGTGCTAAGCAACCAAAACTGATCATGGCTCATTGTGGGCATCTTCCTCGTAAGGCATCAGATGGCACTCTGCGAGGAGGAATTTCTGAAACCTGGAAATGAGGGAATTCGGAGAGTAGTATCCAGGCAGCAATCACTTCATTAGTTGTATCTTATTCTGTGTAACAAAATTTGTTCCCAGTAGGGATGTTAGAATTAGTTTGGAGCCCAAGTTTTACTCTCTTGTTAATTGCTGATAGAAAACATACCTTGTAGACTACTGAAAAGAGGAAATGATAACAACCTATTTAGTGTTCTCCGAAATTCTGTACACGTTACCTAATAATATCATAAAAGAGCTTACCCAGGTTTAGATTGATTTGTATGAATTGTAAACCAGTTTGTGCTTTTCCATATAAACATCTCAGGTTGGAGTAACCATTGACTGCATCTTAATTTTGGACACTGACCAGTAATAAAAATCAAGACACAAGTTAACCAAAGACAGAACAATATGTGCCATGAAGAGTAAACCATTCCTCCTTATAGGCACTTTCCCAAGTCACTGATTTTCCTCCTTGGGACAGGGTCAGAATCCTTCTGTCAAACGCTCAGATCAACTGCAGTCAGTATGTACTATGTAGGCGCCATGGGGCAGTTTCTGTGCAGCTCTCTATGAAAGGCCTGAGGGCTTTTCCCAGAGGAAGATGTTAATGGCTTTCTACAATGATGTGTTGTTTCTTTAACTTGCCCTGAGTTGATGGATTTCAAATATACAGTTGGACACATACACTAATCAAGTAGTGTGGGTTCCATTTTGCCTTGCGGTGCCCAGCGTCCATTTGTCAACCAGTGCCCTTTTCAGGGGTTGTCCTCTGAAAGCCCCAAGTAGAACTGTGAGGTTAGCAGGTATCCTGTGGGGCAGTTTCTTCTTCATATTGCTTTTACTTTGGGGAGGTATTTCAGAGAATTTATGCTCCCCACCAAGTATCAGCACTATGCAAAAGAAATAGGAGAAATTTTTTTATATTCTTTTTTATTTTACTCAATATATCCAAAACATTATCATGTCAAGACGTAATATTGAAAGTTATTAATGAGATATTTTACATTTTTAATACTAAATCTTTGAAATCTTGTCTGTATTTTACACTTAAAGTACATCTCAGTTTGAGCTAGCATTTCAAATGCTCAATAGTCACATGTAGCTCATGGTCCCTGTTTTGAACGTGGGTCAAAACCTTCTCTTTTTACCCAGACTCATGCTTTCCTAAATCTCCCAGGCTCTGAAGTGGCCACTCTTAATATACAAACTCCATTTAAAGTCCCATTCCTGACTCCCACCACTGGTGGTTAAGCAAATCACTGCTTGATTAATGTAGTCACAGGCCCGCTCCTCCCAGCTCTTCAGGGCTCTCCCAGTCCCAGAGCTCTTCGTGGAATCTGCTGAGGCCTGTGTTGGGACAGCATTGTGGCTTTTCCTCTCTCTCTCCCCAGTTCTGCTTTCTTCTCTTCACCTCCCCACAGGTGTACCTCCTGAGCATCCCTTCCAATAACCTTCCTACAGGCACATCTCCAACTCAGTGTCTGCTCCCCAGGGACCCCAATCTGTGATAGGCACTAAGAGTTGACTGTTTTGGTCTGACAAAGAGTTGATGTGTATAATATGTCTTACAGAAACAATACAAGTTCAATCATATTGAGTTCTAATTGTAGTAGTTATAGATTTCTCCGCAATACTGGTGTTGCCAGAAATGTAACATTTCCTTTCTAAGTTAAATCAAATCTGGCTCAGGGCTCTCACTTGAAGAAGTGGACAAGAGGTTCTGTACTTGTCATTCTCTGTGGCTCTTTCCCCACCATTGGCGCCAAGATCCCAGGTCTCAGGTCTGAGAAAAAGTTGGTGGGGAGGTGGGCAGGCCCTGCCCAGGCCTTCTCACAGGCAGGCCACTCTCCTTGTGGCGTCCCTCACCCGGTGCTGGCCTGGGACCTCAGTGCTCCTCTCTGTACTGACATGCTAGGTCCACAGACCCCCATGTGACCACACGTGCCCTCTTCATTATAGAGGAGGAAAAATATTTTTACAACCTATTTCCTCCCTTGAAATTTCAGGCTTTATTCAGCAATTTCCTCATCCACGATGAGGGGATTTTATTCCTTAAACAGCAACTGTTGGCTGCCAGCCAACCCAGAGCCACCTCAGGAAAGTTGCAGAGCCCT